CAGGGGGTGGGGGCGCCCCGGGGGGACGCGCGGAGCTCTCCAGGGTCCTGACCCCCGAGTGGCCGGCCCCGAGGAGCCTCGCTTCGGCCGCCTCCGAGCGCCCCCTCCAGGAGGGGCCGCTCGCCCGCCGCTCCGAGTGCCGGAAGGATTGAGGTGGGGGCTCAGGGCGAGAGCTGGGGAGAGGTTCGGGGAGGGTCCCCCAGGCAGGTTTCTCAGGTCCTTCCCATTTCGGTGACTGGGGGTCTTTGCGAGACGACAGACTCTTCTACCACCCGCATTTCCAAGTCTCCCAACCGGGAGGGGCAACTCTGAGGGTGGCAGGGAAGAAGGGGCACCGGAAGATCTCTCCTGCCCAGTGCATCTCTCTGCCCCCGCCCCGATGACCCAGTTCCTTGGACCTTGAGGAAGGAACTAAGGGACACACTCTGCCACCCCAGCCCTACGCATTTCCTCAGTCCCCTCCCACACACTTGTTCTGTGGGTCCTCAGCTTGGGGCAGAAGAGGCTGATTTAGAAAGGAGAGTGACCAACTTACAGAAACATGCATATGAGACACTGCTGAGGACACACACAGGTCCCCCAAATGGCCACACAGGCACATCCCCCTCACACTGTGATGGGTGCATACCTAGTCACATGCACAGATATGCACATGCACAGATATGGATTGAAACACATGGGGAGACAAATGCAATGCAGAAACCGGGGACACACATGCATACACGAGCATATGCACTCACACACATGCTTACCCACATGTGCGCGGAGTTTTGTGCAAATGCACACACAAGGAACCCCTTTGCCCTGTCTCACAGCCCCAAGCTGGGGGAGAGTCACCTGCACACACTCCCACATCCTTGCCCAGAACTGCCTGGCTGTCACCTCTCCATTGCCATCCCCTTAGCCCGCCACACTCTAAGCTCCTGCACTGAGGGGACCTTTCTGGACTAGGGAAAGGTAAGTGCTTGGGGAGGGTTGGCTGGCTGCAGGTCTCCCTGGAATAGGGACCCCTCGTAGATCTGAGAAGGGCTGCAGCTCCCTTTCCTAGGACCTGGCAGCACCCCTGAGAAGAGAAAGATGGTAAGGGTGCCTGAGGGTCCCACTTGCAGCTGGCCATGTGAGAGGTGTCAGCATGGGAGCTGGCTTGTGATGGCATGTGTGAGACATGTGGGGTCGTGGGCTGGTATGTCTTGGTACACAGGGTATGGGAGTTGTGCATGCATGGTGCCCTGTGTCAGTCCACGTGAGTTGTAGAGCAGCGGGAATGTTGTCCTGTGTGGATGGTGACCCATGGGTGGATGAGGGTTGGTACGTGAGTGGCATGGGACCCAGTGTGTGGATTTGGTGAGCTGCGTAGTGTATGTATCAGTATGTATTCATTTGTGTGTTGTGCATGAGTCTTGTGGCATCTAGTACATGTAAGTCATTGTTAGTTAACACTTACATAGCACTTATATGTGCAGGCATCGTTCTAAATGAGTCACGTGTATTAACTAATTTAACTCCACAACAATAAGGAGGTAGATACTGTTATCTTCATTTTACAGATTAGGCAGAAAGAGTTTAAGGAAATTGCCCGATGTCGCATAGCTGGTAAGAGGCAGAGCTGGGATTTAAACCAGGGTGGTCTGGCTCCGGAGCCCAGGTCAACACCTGCCGCATGCCGCCCCTTGTCAGGCACAGGTGTGTGGGAGAACAGGCCAGTGAATGGGCTGCAGGTGTATTTCATTGTAATCAGGCTTATGTGAGGCAACGAGGGCCAGCTGCCTTTCTGCACCTCCCTGGGCAACTCTGGGACTCAGTCCTGTCCCTCTATGGCTGTGTACCTCGAACCAGGTCACCTCACTTCCTGGATCCAGTCTTCTCGTCTGTAAAATGGGACTAACCCCCAGGCTTCACTGTGGGAGGGTGAAATGGTGTATATCTGTGACGGCTCAGTGGCTGGCCCTGAGAAGGGCCTAGTAAATGTAAGCCCCCTTCCCTTCCTCTGTCTCCAGGCCTGTTCCCGGGGATGATCTGGGGAAATGGTGTGGAGCCTGTCACAGAGGCAGGATGCCTGGGTGCAGGCTGCGTGACCTTGGGCCAGCTCCTCTCTCTGGGTCAAGAGAGGGGCTGGGGTGTCTGGTGTCTGGGGGAACCTCCTGGAATGGTGTCAAGGGACCGGGGGGCCTGACCTCTCCTCCCCATTCTGTGACCCCCTCGGGGACCCAGGTACGACTCAGCTCGGTGGCCATGGGCAAGCAGAACAGCAAGCTGCGGCCCGAGATGCTGCAGGACCTGCGGGAGAACACGGAGTTCTCGGAGCTGGAGCTGCAGGAGTGGTACAAGGGCTTCCTCAAGGACTGCCCCACGGGCATCCTCAACGTGGACGAGTTCAAGAAGATCTACGCCAACTTCTTCCCCTACGGCGACGCCTCCAAGTTCGCCGAGCACGTCTTCCGCACCTTCGACACCAACAGCGACGGCACCATCGACTTTCGGGAGTTCATCATCGCGCTGAGCGTGACCTCGCGCGGCCGCCTGGAGCAGAAGCTCATGTGGGCCTTCAGCATGTACGACCTGGACGGCAACGGCTACATCAGCCGCGAGGAGATGCTGGAGATCGTGCAGGTGGGCCCGGCCCCTGGGCGCCAGGCGCAGGCCCGCAGGTGCACCCGCCCTCCCTGGTGGGGGGCAGTGCAGGTGCTGTTCTCACACCCCCTTCCAGAGCTCTTTATTAGGAAACACTCTCTCACGTAAAGAGGAACCGAGTCAACTCCCGTAGGCTCTTCGTCCAGATTCACCAGTTAACACTGACCACCTGTGCTTTAGCATCATGTGCTGCACATGCGTGTGATGTCCTGTTGTCCGAACAGCACCCTTTACCCCTGAATACAACAGGATATATTTCCTAAGACCAGGGACGTTCTCTTACATAACCCATACTATGATCATCAAAGTCAGAACATTTAGCATAGAAACAATGCTATTATCTTACAGACCAAATGTCTTCATAATGTTCTTTTTCACCCTGACCTAGCATCACGCGTTGCATTTCATTTTCATGTCCCCTTAGTCCCCTTTAGTCTGTAACAGTTCCTCAGCCTTTCTTTGTCTTTCGAGATTTGACATTTCTGCAGAGTGCATGCCAGTTATGTTTTACCGATCCTCGTTTACTCCAGAGAGCAGATGCTCAGAGAGGTAAAGACATTTGCTTGAAGCCACACAGCCTGCGAGTGGGCCACCTGGATTCACAGTCACATTCCATCTGGATACCCAGCCACATTCCAACTAATTAATTGAGGGCCCACTGATAGCCTCATGCTGAGTGAGATTCTTATAGCCATGAGCTTAGTGCATCTTTACAACAACTTCATGAGGCTCAGAGAGGTGAAGTGACTTGTCCCAGGTCCCACAGCATATATGTGGGGTCAAGCTCAAGCTGGCCACCACTCAGCTGCCTCTTGAAAGGGGTCTGGCTTCCAATTCTGAAGTTGGCCTCCATTCTTAGACAGCTCACCTAAAAAATAGGGATGGTGATTCTGATCTTACAGGGAGATTTAGGGGCCTGATATGAATGCCATTTTCATACGAATTTAAGTGTGACATGTTAGCTTTATCTCAAAAAGCTTCTAGAGTGTCCATCCTCTCAGTCTAGCATTAAAGACCATAAAGGCTCTGCTTCTGTTTTTACCTGTCCAGTTCCTTGTTCACTATTTCCCCCTAGCTTCTGTCTCTTCACCCGTAGAGTAGGATGTTAACCCTCAAGGCTACTGAAGGTATAAAGTGGGATAGGGACTCTGGCAGAAGGCCCAGCACAGTTGGTACTTGGTAAACCTTGTCATTCTTTCCTCTGTACATTCTCTGCTTGAGCCCGAATGGCCTTTTCGACATCCTTGGAATGTGCCCTGAGTAATCCTGCTGCACAGCTTTGCACGGCTCTTGCCCCCTTCCCTTCTGCCTGTCTGAATCCCTTCTCTTTTCGTCCCTCAGCTCTGCCGACTGCTCCCACTTCCAATGCACCTAGCCCCTACTGGACTCTTTGGCTTCTTTGTCACTAAGGGTCTGGGTCTGCTCTCTCCAGCTAGAGTAGAATGGGCTGCCTTGGGACATGGTGCCCTCCCTATGCCTGTCTAGGGGAAAGCCTTTACGTTAGTCAATGACTCCCACTGGCCAGACATTAAATCTCTAGTTGATGGATAGTGGGGAGTTCTGGGGGTCCTGGTGGAAGGGTTGGGGTAGCCAGGGTGGTGGAGCATTATTCAGGGATTGGGCAGCAGCTGGATACCAATCAGTGTGGAGGGGTGCTCATGTTTTACCACTTAGTGTGGTTACCCTGGTATATGCTGGTAAATCTCAGCCCTGCTGGAGACGCCAGCCAGTCCCATTCCTTGAGCTCCTCTGGACCCCCTGGCTGGCCTTTGCTGTCTGGGCCCTGGTTTCCCTCACCACAGCCCATCAGTCAGCCCCAGACGGCCAGTGCAGACAGAGCTCTGCAAACCCCAGTGACTGATTAATTACAAGTCGGCTCCAGTGAAACAATGAGTGAGCAGCAATTCTAGACAATTAATTAGGAGGCCCAGGAGTAGTCGTCACAGGCGAGTGTTCACTAAGTCACTCGCTCAGTCCTTCTCAGGACCCTGCCCTGTGGTAAGGAGGTGAGCACACTAGAAGGGAAGAAACTGCATCTTGGCTGCTTGGGGCTCCCACTCTGGTGGGCAGGCCACACTGACCAGCTTGGTGGCAGGGGTGTAAATGTGACATCTGGGAGTTCAGGGGACTGAATGAAGGTCAGGGAAGAACTGAGGGTGTGGTGGATGAGTAACAACTATTATACAAGCTGCTGTTTACTGACTATTTACTCTAGCCAGTTACTGTTCTACACTCATGATCTCATTTAATCTGCTAGACAATCCTCATGGGGGAGATATGATTACCCCCATTTTACAGATGAGGAGATTGAGGCTATAGAGGTTAAGTTCTTGTCCAAGGCTACACAGCAAGTGATTATGGAACCAGGAGGCCACACCAGGTCCACCTTACTTCAAAGCCCCTGCTAGTCATCAGCACCCACAAGCATCTATCCAGCAACTAAGAGGGAGCGGGTTCTAATCTGATCCGTCATCAGTTCCTTTTCTGAGCCTCTATTTCTCATCTGGAAAATGGGGATTGTGATACCTACATTTCAGGGCTGTTGTGAAGTTTAGAAGTAATGCATGTTAAGTACCTGACACATAGTAGGTGCCTGATAAATGGTAGCTAGTATTATTGTTCCAGGCAAAGGCTGTAAATGCTGGAAATCTGAAAGATGCAGGGGTGTTTAGTTGTGGCAGAATCACCTACCAGGGGAGGCCTGGTAGTGGAGGGGTTAGAGGGACTAGAGTATGAAAACTTTGAATGCCAACGTGCCAATGGCTTTTAAAAGGGAAGTCCCTGCCAGATGCCAGGCACTGTGCTAAGTTCTGGGGATACCGGCATTNTGTGCCAATGGCTTTTAAAAGGGATGTCCCTGCCAGATGCCAGGCACTGTGCTAAGTTCTGGGGATACCGGCATTAGCTAGATTTCCATGGTGCTTATTTGTACATTGGGGACTAAGAACAATCCAACAAAGGCGGAATTACTTCCAGAGATGTGTCCCCAAAGGAAAAGCCCAGGAGGCTCTGTGCCAGCATATGGGCCCTGACCCAGCTTGGATTAGAGAAGGACTCCCTAAGAAGGAGCCATGCAAGCTGAGCCACAGGGAGGAGTGGGAGGCAGCAGCAGAAGCGTGGGGAAGCATCCAGAAGGAGCTGAGTGCATGGCAGGTCTGGAAGGAGGCCTGTGTATGACTGGAAAGAGGGGGCGGCCTGCTGGGCTGGGGACGTGGTGGTAGAGATCTGTGTTTAGAAAGAGCTTTCAGAGGCGGCGTGGGGCACAGACCCAAGGAAATGAGGCTGGAAGAGACCAGTGTGCAGGCTAAAGCCGGATCTGAGGCTGGGTAAATTTATGGTATGGGAGAAGCGAAGCCGGTTTCTTGGAGGTGGTTTCAGTAGCAAAAAGCTGGAAGACTGAGACCATCGGTCCGTGAGCTCCAGGACCCAGCCTATCCCACTGGCCAAGCCCCAAGAGCTCTGTGTACATTTAGCGCAAAAACCCTCCTTCGTGTCGCCTCCGGAGCTCCTGCACGTGGGCCTGCAGCCTCCGGCCTAGCGAAGTCCAGGTTGTCCCCGCCTCCGGCCGATGCTTATTTGCGTTTATTTGCATAATGTTCCCCGCCCCCTCTGGGCCCAGCCGCCTCCGGCCTTCCGGCCCCAGTACGGCCCAGCGCCCCCTGCCGGCCACAGCGGCACCGCAGCCCAGTGCCGCCCGCCTCAGCCCAGTTCCCCGTCGGTCACCAAACGCGGGCCACCGGAGTTTCTGAGAAGCAGCGTCAGTCCCGTGCTTACCTCGGAACCTTCGGCCCCGATGTCTTCCAACATCTCTACTCACCCCCTCCACGCAGCCACGCCACTCAGAGCCTCCCTATGCGGGGTCTTTGTATACGGGGAGCCCCCTGTCAGCAATTCCTTCCCCCCTAGCGCTCCCGGAGAACGTGGTCGGGGCGCACTCCAGTAGCCCCTCTTCTGGGAGCCCTTCTCAGACACTCGTTCCCGGTTCCCTGACGCCGCCGTGACCCCCTCTCCACCCCACCCTGGCGGGAGCGACTGTCCTCAGCGTACCTGGGGCGTTTTTGAAGGTTGGGGTTAGGGGCTCCTACAGCCTCCTCTCACTCCCTGCCTTCCCCTCCCGACCCCCAGGCCATTTACAAGATGGTTTCGTCGGTGATGAAGATGCCAGAGGACGAGTCGACCCCGGAAAAGAGGACTGAGAAAATCTTCCGCCAGATGGACACGAACAATGACGGTGAGGGGCACCGGGGGCGGGCAGCACTCCCCTC